ATGTGCACCTTGTACCCGAACGAGGCACAATACATGAGTATATGTGTAGAAGATAACGGTTACTATAAATCTGAACAGGAAATAAGGAAAGTATCCTCTTGGGAGTCTGTTCTACAAAGCAACAGTTTGTGCCAAGATGATGCACCAAATGAAAACGAAGTGAATGAAGATGGTTTTCTATCCTCTGCGTAGCATGGTGGGTCTTAATCGTGAAGGTTAGAACTAGTGGAACTAAGTAATATAATTTATCTGAACAATTTCCCTTTAAGGATTAAAAGAACAGCAAGAGGTTAGCGATCCTTCGTCTGTGGGGAAAGGATGAAAAGGTGGAAAATAATTAATCACCCACATGGAGACGGAGACGCTTTTGAGCTCTATCGAGGCTAGTAAGTGAAGACTGTGTAGCTCCTGGCACCAGTACTCCATTTATGGAAAGATCTGGCTCTTATAAAGGTAAAGTATAACAGATATGGAGTCAGGTACTTAATGGAACGGTCCAAGGAATCGGCCATTTCCCCAGCATCGTTAGCGATGGATCGTATACCTGATGTAACAGCAAAATTGTCCAGTTGTTAGATTAAGCACTGAATCGTATCTTATAAATGATTAAAGATATCTTACTGGAATTCTCCAAGGCTTAAACTCGCCAAGTTTAACTTTCACGGCAAAGACCCGCCATGCCACCTCCATTGTAGCAAACCACCTACATTCCCTCTGTATTCCATCGGTGATGAGTTCCACTCGAACAGCTTCTTCCTACAAACCACTGATCTATGGAACCGACTCCCAAAACGACAATTACAATCTTAAGTTCATGTTTCGGGTTAATCGTTTTCTCCTCCTCCTCCTCCTATCCGTATAAACTGATGTAGTAGCATATGTTAGGCTCCCAGCTATAGGAAAATAGTAAATCTCCATACTGGGGCCAAAATATTATGAAGACAATGAAAAATACATTTTTGTGGTAAACATAGCACTGATATATTTTCATAGTAAAAAAAATAAGACCAGCAATACATTATTGGAAAAGAAGAGAAAAGTTACCAGCAATAGATTTTCTAAAAGAAAAAAAAAAAAATTCAAAGCTCCTAAGAAAATTAAATTTCGCCATTAAATTATCTATAAGAAGTTCATGTGCCGTTAACTCAACGTAACCCGCTACCGGGCCTTGTTTAGGGTGAACATTGTTGCCGACATAGATTCATGTAATCAGAAAATGAATTCGCACGTTATTTTTTTTTTGACTTAATTAATACTTTAGGACAAAAAAAAGTGTCTGTAATTTATATATTTTTTTCATTACAAATAAAACACGTGATGAAAGAAGACTCATTAGTAAAACGTGAATGCCCGAAACAAGGGATATTAATGAAGCAGTAGTTTGCATTAAAAGAGACAAAGCGAATGCAATGGAATGCAGATTCACAATGGGACGATTTCTCTATGTAAAATGTTCTCTTATTACTGAACAATGGAAGTGGAAACATTTCGACGCTCAGGCCTGAATGAATTGAAAATGACATAGATGAAAGAAATAAAGGCAATTATATATATCGGGATTGGCTAAAAGAACGTTCCCTGTTAGCACTTAAATGGCATTAAGAGATTTTAGTGTTAACTTCAGAAAAAATATATGAATAAAATAAAAAAATCTATTCGCTATCACATGCATTCATTATGCATGTCGAAATTGGTTTATTTTGGTTCTTCGAAGTTATCACCGAGTAAAAAAGCACTTTTCTTCGTTTTAAACGAAAAATATAAGAAAAGCACAATATAGAAATAATTTATGCGTGAATTTCTACAGCTATCATTATTTACCTTTTTTAAAATTTTTCAGACTATTGTCCTCACCTTTAACCGTTGTGCCTACCGGCCCCCCTCCTAAAACTAAAAACGAGATAATATCCACATACATGAGCAGTGAAACGAAAACAATCTACCCCTGTGGTTATTCTGATCGATATACATCTGAAGAAAAGCCCGTGGACAAAACGGCCATCGAAACGAAGTGAAAAACAACAAAGATGAGGACAATAGTCCAATATAAAGATTCGGCAAATAGAAATAATTCATCCAGTTTATGAATCAGGTGATGTAAATGAAAGAACGTGTAAAATGTGGTTTGCACAATTTTATACAAAAGATTACTTGCTCCTGTCAATATATGGCAGCAGTAATCTATTTTCAAATTGATATTACTCTTGAAAAGATAACGGATATCATGAGAAGTGAATACATTATAAAAAAAAAGTATAATGCAAGAGATCAAGGGGTAAGGGAAATGAACCCCAATCACAGTTTGTTCTATATGGTATCACTGCAAGGTATTTTAGAAAGAAAATGACTACGAACTTGTATTTCTACCTATTAGGTCAACTGAAAATCGCTACACGAAAATCATAATATATCCGAATAAATCGGAACTGTGTGTTTAATTTATGTCTGATAATGTTATTTACATTATACTCTAGTCTTTGTCGGTATGATGACAACGTTTTCACCGTTGTGTTCTCCGGCCTTCTTCTTTGGAACAGGACCCTTTATTAAATCTCGTCCTGGGTATGACGATAAACTACATCCGACAGTAAGGCCTCTGATGGGGAGGTTTTGAGGAGTAAGGAACCGTCTCTGAAATGCTGTTGTTCCAGGTCTACTCTCACCTGGGGTGGTAGAACTTGTTAGGATCCCAGCCATGGGCAAATAGGGAAACCCTCATACTGGTACCAAAATACTAGAAAAGTATAAAAATCCATTTTTGTAGTAAGAATACCAGCAATAGATGCATTGTAAAAAAAAAAAAAAAAATTTACCAGAAATCGGAAAAGGAAGAAAAAAAATTATCAGCAATAACAAAAGCTTCCAAGAAAATTAAATTTCGTCATTAAATGATCCATCCGAAGTTGGTATGCCGTTAAATCAATCAAACTTTTATTAAATCGACGTTCAAGCTCTCATCGTTCAAACTAAATTCCAGCGACACGATTGTCGCACAGAGCAATGGAACCGGTCAAATTCTAGAATATTTAAGCGCACTCGTTAGTGAATTTTGTGGTATAATGATTCAGAGTTCAATCTTTGCGCCGGGTAGTACGAAGATAGTCAAATTCAGTGGCCATACGAATATCAATATTAAAATCAAAACGATTCCTAGATATGGAGTGTGAAATGTGAATCCCTTCTTCGATGCTGCTCGAAAGTGAACTGGATCGACAGACACCAGAAAAATACAGAAACGATCTGAAAACAAAGCTGAAGACGTTCATAATGTATAAGTACTTTATCCTTATTTGGCGATCGGGTAAAAATCGTTACAACTCAGCGAGAAAATTTTGACTCGTCATCGCCCGGTCACTAAATATTGCATATTTAAAATTTCCGGACATAATTCAGCAGGCGCAAAAAACAAAATCTCCAACGATCAAAAAAAATCAAAAAGTAACTAACTGCTGGTGTAGTTATTTAGATCTTAATAAGTAAGACTCTACTGCTACAGGAAAAATAACAAGAAAGAACAAGAAATTCATTGAACAACTTTAATGAACTCGGTAATGACCTGAGACAGTGAGGGGAGAAACAAGTGAGGGAAACTAATGTAATGATAGACCGATGAAGACGAAAGTATCATATTATAAATCTGCTTGTATCTCCCTAAGTTAGCATGACCGTTACGTCCTGCCAACATCTTATAAATAATGGACTATTCTGTTTTAATCGTGTGGAAAGACGGAAAAGACACATCAGAGACACTGTTTGTTTTCAGCGAGAAAATTATTGTAAGAAAGAAAAAGAGGAAGACAGAATTGTTTAACGTCTGTTTCTGTGAAATTAAAAAAAAAAAGTTGTAAATTTTAAATCTTTTCATTTACTTCATAAAATAACTATCAGAAATTCACTTTTATGATTGTTATTGGAATGACGTGTGAGTGACATTTATCCATTGGTTTTACACACACACACACATTATAATTGAGCTTGTTCCGCACTTCGTTAGTTCGCACGACCGTTACGCCCTGCCAATATCTCATAAATAATCGACTATTCCGTTTTGATCGTGCGAGAAGATAAAACACTTCAAGGACGGTACTTGGTTTCAGTGAGAAAATTAATGTAAGAAAGAAAGAAGATAGAAGTGTTTAACGTGTTTCATTGAAATGGTAAAAAGCTGTCAAATTCAAATCTTTTCGTTTGTACACCCTTACTTCTTTAAATAACGACAAGGAATTAATTTTTTATGATTGTTATTGCAATATTTTGTTAAGCTCAAATATTTAACGATGCAAAAGAGGAATTTCTGCGGCTATTTTATTGTCGTAGAACTCGCTAATAATTAAGTGAAGAATTAAGATTCATCAGTAAATTGAAATAGGAAAACCGTGATATTTTCACGGGTATTTCCAGTTAAAAGTACCTGCAGTAAATTTCTTCACCGGGGGACTAGCTTTCATGTCTGACTACACTAAGTCTAGTGAATACCAAATCCCGTCTTCTGGTTAGCAAGCGCATTAGTTGAATGGGTTCGAGCCACATGCGCGCTGAATTGCTGTGGCCTTCACTCAAGCTTAGTGGTAAATGTAAAAATGTCATTTTCTAGCAAGAAGGTATTTAAAAATTAGCAGTGTTTAGGTATTTGACCAAATTTTAGAAAGTGGCGTTAATAGAGAATTTTTTTTATAGCCCTGCGAGCCTCCCGCCACGTGTGTGTGGGATGCGTAAAGATTACTATTATGACTACAAACGTTTTTAAATACGAATAGAAATTTACCCTGATTGTTCAAAAATATAAAAGATCGTAACAATGAAATGGAATATTTATTCAACACATGGCGAATATTTTGCCTGGTAAATTCACTGAAATTCTTCAACCCGACTGCTGGCATTGTTCCGGTAATTGTTTTGAAATATTTAAGCTTCAACTGTATCTTTCTAAATATCATTCAATCTGTGTTCTATGATAGTACAGACAAATCATTTCCAGCACAATTTCACTGAAAGAAAAACTAACAAATATACTGATACATAGAGATGGCGGGGAAAGATATAGTGAAAGGAGTGAGAGGAGAGAGAGAAAGAAAAGGGTAGAGAGAGAGAGAGAAAAGGACAGAGGGGAGGGAGAGAGAGAGAAAAGGAGAGAAAGGGGAGAGAGAGAGAAAAGGAGAGAAAGGGAGAGAGAGAAAGGGAGAGAAAGGGGAGAGAGAGAGAAAAGGAGAGAAAGGGGAGAGAGAGAGAAAAGGAGAAAAAGGGGAGAGAGAGAAAAGGAGAGAAAGGGGGAGAGAGAGAAAAGGAGAGAAAGGGGAGAGATAGAGAGAAAAGGAGAGAAAGGGGAGAGAGAGAGAGAAAAGGAGAGAAAGGGGAGAGAGAGAGAAAAGGAGAGAAAGGGGAGAGAGAGGGAGAGGAGAGAAAGGGTAGAGAGAGGGAGAGGAGAGAAAGGGTAGAGAGAGAAGAGAGGGGGGAGAGAGAGGAGAGAGAGGGAGGAGAGAGAGGGAGGAGAGAGGGAGAGTGGGAGAGAGGAAAATGAGAGATAGACGAAAAGAGAGAGGAGGGAAAGGATAGAGAGCGGAGGAGAGAAAAGAAGTAGAGAAAAAAGGGGAGAGAAGTAGAGAAAAAGGAAAGAGTGAGACAGAAAGGGGAGAGACAGGGAGAGAGAAAGGGGAGAGACAGGGAGACAGAAAGAGGGGATAGAAGAGAGAGAGAGAGAGAGAGGGAAAGAAAGGGAAGGAGAGAGGATTCACGGAAAGAGAAAGGGAGTGAAGAACAAAGCTAGAGATAAAATAGCGTGACAGTGGAAGACGACGAGAAGAAACTTGATTTTCCTTTAATGTCACCTTGCCATTAAATTCCTTTCTTCATTGCTTATTGATCGATATATCGATTAAGATGTGTGGAATTCCTACTTTACCTGCAGGTGCAATCCGCACCCTGACACGCTAGACTCGTTACATTATTTAATATATTTTCCATTAGAGTTATCGCTTTCGTTTTTTTTTCTTTTTTCCTCTCTGTCTTTTCATCGGATGAAACAAAAAAATTATAACTTTTCCTTTACTTGAAAAAAAAAAAAAAAAATCCTTTTCTTTGTTCTGCGCTCGAATTTTAATATTCTTCGTTTTCGATCCTCTCTTCTTTGTGTCTTTTTTCCCCTTTTTCTAATTCTCCTTATGCTTTCTAACTCTCTTCCTACCATTGCTCTCTTCTCGTTCCTAAAGGAACGAGAAGATAGCAATGGTAGGAAGAGAGTTGATGGAATGGGTGAACATCTACCCTTTTCGTCACCCATTCCATCATTTCTGGTCTTTGCCTTATTTCTCCTCTATTTAAACATTTTTATTATCTCCACTCTTTTCTTCTTCTTTTTTTACCATTTATCCATGTTCTTGCACTTTTATTCTATGCTTCGTTTCCCGCCGACTTCTTCCTTCCTTCCCTCCTTTCCTGGCGACAAGTGCATTCTTTCTATTTTTCCACATTCTTTGTCCGCATTTTCTTCGCGCACTACACAACCCCCGCCAAAGATTTCATTTTCTCCATGTTCCAACAAGTATTCTCCCCGACCCGAACTTCGCCACTGAAATTCCACAGCGTTTCAAACCAGATTAGCAATCAAATCAACAAATAAGACATTTTTGACAATTCACACGCAAGCATCTTAATCACACCCTATCTTGCAGAGCCCTGTAATTTTCTCGTTTATATTCTAATTGACGCCCCCACCATTTTTCAAGAACCATTTTTCGAAACTGATTCGCTCTTCCATTGTATTTTATCTCCTCGTATAATTTTTTCTTATCGCTCGTCTCAAGTTCACGGTCCATTTTCATATGGGAAACTTTGGTGTTACTATAGTAAGATATCTGCCATCCATTTTCTCCTATGCTATAATATTTACCAACTGTTGGAATTAGGAAATATGTTAAAAAGTATTAAAGGAGCATAACAAACAGTTTGTAGTATAAAATTTATACAAGTCAGTTACAGTTTTATGTGACTTTCCACTAAAGATTTCCGTGGTACTCATCGGGATTTTGTGAACAATATAATACACTAATTCTAAAATTTTACACATTTATTTGAAAATTTTGGTATATATATATATATATATATATATATATATATATAATGGAATTACATAACTACCTCCTTTATGAATGCAAACTAGATAAATACGCCGGCCTTTAGGTTAAAATAACACTGTATGTATGATGTAATGGAATAACCTGTCACCCCCATGAGTAACCACACTATAGGTAGTAACAACCTATAAGTATCCGTAAGGCAACGGACAATAGGAGAGTAGCTGGAATCTTAAGTACGACTCAGACTTACGCAAGAACTACCGACCTTCCAATAGTAACACTTACTACTGGATTGACTTGCGACGATCGTGCGCATAACTGATGCCTTTATTCTTATTGTACTGGTTATACAATGTTTGTCAAGTATATACTCCTATTAGCACGGAATATAACAATGCAGTTTAATGAATTCATTTCTGTGGTCCGTAAGTGGGTTGTTTGGTAGAGTGCATCTTCATTTACAATAGTAGCACCGAAAATTTTCTTCCTTAAAATAAACTTAGACTTATACTTTTACCGTATCACATGTCAAACATTTGGAAAGGTCCCTCCACGTTGTATATGCTCATCAACTGACCAAATTCACCGTCTCTACCTACTTATTTAGTAAGGGTCAGTTTTATTTATCTAACAAGGGTCAATTTTAAAATGAAATAACTGGTGTACTTGAGCACGCAGGGCAGAGTAAAAGTCACGAAGTACAACTTGGAGACATCAAAAATGAAGTAAGCATTTTAAATGGCACCAAAAAGGACGCTTACTTAACGTCAGAAATATGAGGATAGAAGGTTTGGGAAATTTGATACTCACAAACCAGACCGATAGACAGAAAAAGAAGCAACGCATAACCTAGCTTAATGTACCCACAACAATAATTTTTCTCGCACTTCCCACATGTGTGACTCTCTTCCGTTTCATTGCTTCCCTGATAACTACAATATTAAAAATTTAAATGTAACGTCAATCTTGAAGTCTTCTTGAACCCTGTCCATTTTTTAATCTTTTCCTCAATCATCCCTATTCTCAATCTTTTCTTTAATTCCCTGTGCCGCCCATTGAGTACTTGTGTCATTACCGCCTTGCTCGGGGTGAAATGATTAAAAATAAATAATTGTCCCAAGAATTCATAGCAATGCACATAATAAACTAACATAATTCCAGCATCCGTGAGTCTTCTGATCTCACGTCACTATGTTTATCTTGACGTAAAAGCAATCGCTTGGAGTATGTTTCTGAAGACAATCTGTCATTATGAAGATGACACTGAAATATTTATTTGTTATTTTAATTATTAAAATGAGAATATTGCGCCTAAATTTCCTAAATATCGCCAGTTTACATTTGGTTTGAGATTTTCAGATAGTTGACTTGCCAATTTAATATATACGCTGGTAGCGTAGCGGTTATCGGAGCGAAAATGATATTTGGCGAGGTAAGCTTCGATTCAGGGCTAGTCTATTTCGAACTAATGCTCTTGGAAATGGCATGGATCCATTTCTACTTATCAAATTAGGGTTTGGGCTTCTGCTGCCCAGTCTTCACTGCCCAGCCTCGACAGAGCTCAAAAGCGCTCGGGCGGCCTTGTAAGTGATAAATTATTCTCCACTCTGCGACCTCTAACCAACAGACGAAACGTTGCTCGTCTATCGCTATTAATATGGCTGATGTTTTTTAGACGAATTACATTTTTTCGTTCCATCAGCTCAGGCCCTCAAACTTAGAGCCAGCCACGCTCTGTTTACGGTAGCAAACCATTCCCATCCCCTACGTGTTCATTTGTTAAGGAACAAGTTTCCCTCGCACAGCTTCTTTCCCAAAATTGTGGGAAAAAAAAGAGAGGATGTTTCCCTGACAACCAAATCCTTTGTTACTAAACCCCCCCTTTTTTTTTTTTCCCCCGGGGAAAAAGGGGAAACCCCCTTTTTAAAACCCCCCCCAAAAAAAAAAAAATTTTTTTTTTCCAAAAATTTCCCAAAGGCCCCCCTTTTTTTTTTTGAAATTTTTTTTTTTCCCCTTTAAATTAAATTTTTTTTTTTTAAATTTAAAAAAAAAATTTTTTTTTTTTTTAAAAAAGGGGGTTTTTGGGCCCTTTTTAAAATTTAAAAAAAAAATTTTTTTAAAAAAAATTTTTTTTTTTAAAAAAAGGAAAATTTTTTTTTAAAAAAAAAAAAAAAATTTTTTTTTTTTTAACCTTTTTTTGAATTAAGGATTTTTTTTTTCCTTTTTTTAAAAAATTTTTTTAAAAAATTTTTTTAAATTTCCCCCCTTTTTTTTTTTTTTTTTGGGCCCCCCCTTTTTTTTTTTCCCCCTTTTCAAAATTTTTTTTTTTTTTCCCCCCCCCCTTTTCCTTTTGGTTTCCTCCTTTTTTTTTCCCCCCCCCCCTTTTTTTTTTTTTTCCCTTTTTTTTCCCCCCCCCTATTTTTTGGGCCCCCTTTTTTTTCCCCCTTTCCTTTTGGGCCCCCTTTTTTTTTTTTGGGGGGCCCCCCCCCCCCAAAAAACGTTTTTTTTCCCCCCAAAAAAAGGGTTTTTTTTTTTTTTTCCGGTTTTTTTTCCCCCCTTTTTTTTTTTCCCCTTTTTTTTTTGTTTTTTCCCCCCCCTTTTTTTTTTAAAAAACCCCCCCCTTTTTTTAAAAAGGGTTTTTTTTTTTTAAAAAAATTTTTTTTTTTTTTTTTCCCTTTTTTTTTTTTTCCCCCTTTTTTTTTTTTAAAAAATTTTTTCCCCTTGGTTTTAAAAAAATTTTTTTTTTTTTAAAAAAAAAATTTAAAAATTTTTAAAAAAAAATTTTTTTTTGGGGGGAAAAAATTTTTTAAAAAAAAAAAAAATTTTTTTTTTTTCCCAAAAAAAATTTTTTTTTAAAAAAAAAAAAATTTTTTTTTTAAAAAAAAATTAAAAAAAAAATTTTTTTTTTTTAAAAAAACCCCTTTTAAAAAAAAAAAAATTTTTTTATTTAAAAAATTTTCATCTCCCGATAGATCAAAAAAAATTTTAATAAAGGAATGTGCCCCCGGAGAGGGATCGAATCTTTTCCCTTTTTTAATTTTTAAAACAAAAAGAGGTAATATATAAGAAAAGTTTTAAAAAATTTTTTGTGTTTTCCTTTTATATATATATATATATATAATAAAATAATTTTCAAACCTAAATTTCCCTTTAATGTAAACGTCCGTCATAGATCCGGTTTCGGACTAACATATTGAAGCACCGACGACGACGTCCAAGCCCAAACAACGACTATAGCAAGTATTACAGCTAATATAACTGCTGCTAGATACTGCCACCCAACACAGGATAAATGCTTGCACTAGAGCGGCGATCTTACAACAATAATTATAAGAACTGGTCGTACTACTATAAACACATGAGTGAACCGCTACTATGTAGTAGTTGTTTTTTTTTTCTTTTTTTTTTCTTTTTTGGTAGTACGACTTGAATCTTCGTTCTGATTACTTTTTTGCAGTCTCCGGGATTGAGTTAGTCAAACTATATGTTTTGTTTGTTTCTTAAATTTAAAAAAAAAAATTCTTTTCCGACTTGAAAAGAAGAACGGGTATACATATTTCCATCTTTCTTTTCTTATCTTTGTCTCTTTATTTCTCTCTTAATTTGTCCGGCTGTAGAAGCATCAGCATGCAGCGAAATTTGAACATACGAGAAATAAGAGGGGGGAGAGGGAAAAGAAATTTCTAGTTGTATTAATTTTTATAAGCATATCTATTTCAATCTCTAACAATATATATATATATATAAATTTATATATATATATATATATATATCTCACTATCTGTTATTTCTGCCTCAGATAAACGCACAACATTATCTTACTCTCTAACTTTCTCATATACACAAATGCTGCTCTTTGCCTTGCAATACCCATACGCATCCAGACGA